TTGGTGAATACCCCTAATGGATTGTATTGATCGCATATCGTAAATTTTTATATCGCCTCGGTAGCATCGCATCTGCTTGAGGCCACCTTTATCCACTCATAACAAAATATGTATTGATTATGACAATGTAATGCAAAATAACGGCATAGTTGCAAGACTGCTGATCAAGAGTGGCATATATTTTCATTCTCTCCTGGCGGGTCAATTCCCGTTCTATGTTATCGTGAAGTGAAGTGAAAAGTCAAAATTTCGCATCGAAAATAAGTGCGGTGAGAAAGTGTTATTTTTATCACTTCACAATAACGCAGAACGAGAATTGACCCTCTCGAAAATTTTTGTAACTTCTGGCCCTAAAAATTCAAACCTTTTATTTAAACTTTTTAGAAAAAATTTAGGTCTGAAGTTTTATAGCCCATTAAATTTTAGTAGTCTAAGATGCAAATTTTAAGACGCTAGAAAATTGCGGGGATTTTAAATTTTTTTTTGCTGACAATATTGTGCATTTTCTGCCATACAAAGTATGCTCGACAATTTCTTTTATATGGTGTTTCCTTAAGGATTATTCTGTATACACTCCAAAGCTTCCTGCCGACCAGGTCACAAGTTTGCGATGAGAGTGCCCCATCGTCGAAGCTGCGACCTATCACCTCACTTATGAATCTATCCTTCGCCATATCTGCAAAAGATATTCTCTGCTGCTCATAAGCCATTAGATCGGAGGATACCTTTGTTCGTTTCCCCTGTGCGGGTTCCGCTTTGGCTCTCGCCGAATGTTCAGCAATGAACTTCTCGGCCCTGTATTATGAGTCGAGCTCTTCTACGATCAGTTCTTCAGCATTTTTGCCCCTCAGTCTCGACAGCCGTTGAGGCAGTTTCAGAGCGAAAGGAGCATATGCCCTGGCTTGACCACCGCTTCGCACCGTTGGATTACTTGATCTTGTCCAACGACAGACTGGGCCTTCCTGAATGGGGAGCGTTACAGTATAATTGATTAAAAATAAATGTAGAAGTCGGCTAAGGTTTTCTCATGCCAAAACAGCTTCTACTATGCCTTCGAAAAGTTATACCCACAATTTCAAACAAAGTCAATTTAAAGTTAACTTATGGTAAAAAATCTGCCGGATTTTATATTTGCTTCTGAAAGCGTCTGTAATATTTCGATATTTTTGCTTTCGGAAACGGTTCGAGACAAAAGGAAATAACTACTTTCAAAGAGGAAGTAAAGGTATGGCTAGTGTTCTATGGCGTATCATCAGGTAGGACGTGGCAATGAATATTATTTAAGGCTGGTCGGGTTGAATAGTTGGATTCGTAGAGGTGTTTTGGGTATTAACCTATTAAAAATTTAAAACCATACAATACGGGCATCTCCAAAAAAAAATATTCATTGCATATAACTTAATTATCACATCGTTTATTACAAATTGTTTATGGAATACACTGTAAATAAATTAACTTGGGAGAACACTATAGATAAAAGATAACATCACTTGAATTAGGAGAAGAGTTAGGAGCAGCCGCCCGCGCTTTGTAAGATGATTGAACTGAGTTTGAGCCAACGTACGATGCTGAAGGAGGAGGTGGGCCAGCATAAGCGTTTTGCGCAGAACTAGGTGCTGTGTAAGATGCTGGAGCAGGCGCAGGAGCAGGTGCCGCATGAGAAGCTTGACCAAATTTTATGGTTATATAGGAAGCTGGAGCGGGTTCAGGAACACGTGATGCATGCGACGTCTGAGTAGAGCTACGGGAGGCATAGGATGCCGGAGAGGGTGCAGGATAAGGAGATGGTGCAGCATAAGAGGCCTGAGCGGAGCTAGGAGCAGCATATGTTGCAGGAGAAGGATCTGGGGAAGTATAAGAGGCTGGAGCAGGCGCAGGAGCAGGTGCAGGAGCAACATACGAAGCTTGAACATATCTGGGGTCAGCGTAAGATGCTTGAGAGGGCAGAGGAGCAGGAGCTGGGGCAGCATAAGATGATGGGGAGAGCGCAGCATAGGAGGCTTGACCATTTCTGGGCTTTACGTAAGATGTAGGAGCGGGCGCAGGGGCTGGTTCAGGAGCGGTATAAGAAGCTTGAGCATAGCTCGGAGCAGCGTAAGATGCAGGAGCAGGATCCGGGGCAGCATAAGAAGCTGGAGCAGGTGCAGAAGCTGGAGCCGGAGCTGGAGAAGGAGATGGGGCGGCATAGGATGTTGGGTCAGATGCAGGAGCGGCATAAGAAGCATGAGCATAGCTCGGAGCAGCGTAAGATTCTGGATCAGCCGAAGGAGCTGGTTCTGGTGCAGAATAAGCGGCCGGATCAGAGCTGGAAGCCAAATAAGATGATGGAGCGCGTGCAGAACAAGGTACAGGAGCAGGTGCTGGTGCAGCATAAGAGGCCTGACCATTGCTGGAGCCTACGTAAGATGCAGGAGCAGGCGCAGGGGCTGGTGCAGGTGCGGTATAAGAAGCTTGAGCATAGCTCGGAGCAGCGTAAGATGCTGGATCAGCGGAAGAAGATGGTTNTGGTGCAGAATAAGCGGCCGGATCAGAGCTGGAAGCCAAATAAGATGATGGAGCGCGTGCAGAACAAGGTACAGGAGCAGGTGCTGGTGCAGCATAAGAGGCCTGACCATTGCTGGAGCCTACGTAAGATGCAGGAGCAGGCGCAGGGGCTGGTGCAGGTGCGGTATAAGAAGCTTGAGCATAGCTCGGAGCAGCGTAAGATGCTGGATCAGCCAAAGAAGATGGCCCCGGCGCAGAATAAGAGGCCGGAGGAGAGAGACGAGCCGAGTAAGATGCTGGAGTGGGTGCAGGAGCAGGTGCTGGGGCAGCATAAGATGCTGGGGAGGGCGCAGCATAGGAGGCTTGACCATTTCTGGGCTTTACGTAAGATGCAGGAGCAGGATCCGGGGTAGCATAAGAGGCTGGAGCGGGCGCAGGAGCAGGTGCAGGTGCGGCATACGAAGCTTGAGCATAGCTAGGCA